ATATATATATATAGTATAAATGCGTTTGGAATATCAACTAATAACTTAACTTAGACACACTTTGACAACTCATTCAAACGTTAAATGTTGGCATTCAAGTTGGCTTTCTCAACACAGGCTGTTAATTATTATATTTTTCTACATTTTCATCAACCAAAAATGTAACAATTTCTAACTCGCGAAAGTGATTTTAGGTGCCTAAATTTACCGTGATTTTTATTTATTGGGGGCGACTGGGGAGCGAGTAATTTTTTGTAGAAGCGCTTCCCCTGCCCCCTATCCCCCCTCCCACAACTGCGCTTCCCTCTAGATACCGCAATTGAAATTTAATATTACTTTAATTTTTAGATTAATGTACAGGTAGGTAAGAAAAGGGGTCATCTGTATTAAGATTGATGATGTATCAGAGCGTGATTATTGATTACTGTAAGTCTAAAATAAATCTTTATTAAAATGTAAATATACAAAGGTGCACTTTATGTTTATTTTGCATTTAGTTGCCAATAACTGGCGAAGAAATCTATCGAAAACGTTTCTAGACTGTTGAGATATCTTTGGTACAGTATTTGTTTTTATACATGGCGCCCTCTGTATAGTGTTTCAACAAACTCAAACGTTTTGTCTAGTTTATGATGATCTGTTTATCTCGTATTAAAGTATTAATATATTTCAAAAACAATATTTAATAGAAGGAAACTATTTGATAAATCTCACCAGAATCAACTTGAAGAAAATCGATAATAAAAGAAAAAGTGCTTACCACCCATAGCTATAAAAATACAAAATCGATGAAGGTTTCGTTGATGTCATTCGTCATTGCTTCAAAAACAGACATTTTCATGTTATTTGATTTCTATTATTTGGTTTCTTTCTCATAAGAATCCTCTTCAATGTAATTTCGTTACTTTGAGATAAATTGAGACTGGATACATACAACCCACCCTTTTTTCTTTCTTTTTTTCTTATTTGTAAGAACTGGCCGGTGGCATCGGATCGTTAATGAATAGATGAAACAGGATCGGGACATTAAAGACGACTATTAAAACGCTACTTTACATAAAGTCGTATAATACCTTTCCCGTTCCTCCTCTTCGAAAAAATCACCTGTCCAAGAATAAAAACCAGCCTCCGCTGTATGTTCTTTTTTTTTTTACAAAGATACCTAGGCTATACCAAATTTACTATCTAATAGGCTAGACATCCACATTATGATAAGCATATAATCAAAGCTTAGGCTATAGTTTTGTATTCTTATTAGATATTATTAATGATAATGGCATTGAAAACGCAAAATTATTGAGCATATTTGTTTAAGAACAAGATATAAATTTCTATATTGCCAATGTTATCATCATCGTTGTCACCAATTTATCAACATCGTCATCATTCTCATCATTATCATTATTATCCATATATTCTATCAATTCGGTCCATATCATAATTTCTGTGCCGTTGTCATCATTATAAACAAGTTTGTCGTATTCTGCATTCACTATCATGGACATATTCGGGTGTCATGATCGTCACTGTATACCATTAGTAATACGTATAATACGGTACCGTACCACTAATAATCAAATGTCAACGACGCGCTGTAATCGTCATTGATAGCTTGTTGATAACATTTATATAGGGCTAAAGATAATTTTTATACATTATAAATTCATTTAGAATAAGTCATTCGTGCCTATTAATAAAAATTATATACTATTTTCGTTTTATCATGAAAAACTTGAAAAATATTATAGGCCTACATATATTAAACTATAAGTTACGGTAGCTAAACTTAAATAAAATACATTCTTGGTCACCAGAAGTATATAGACCTAATGAGGCTGGTGTACAGCTGGTAATAAAATATTTTGTAAATCAGCGATTTTAAAACATCTTCTGCTGTCTCATAAAGTTAGAAGTACCGGTACGTTATGTGCTAGCTATTTTTAAATGTACAAGATCTTTACCAGACCGACGATCCGGGCCTTATCTTTGAACATGTGTATTAAAATGACTGAGAGACACAAAACATCGTCTGTTTGTTTGTTTGTTTTTTTTATAACAATATTAATAATTTTGTAAACATATTTTCGTTTATATGCTGTCCTTTGGTCACATCAGTAGTCAATGGTTATACCGTCATAATATTTTACTGGGGGAAAATGGTGGTTCTGGTGGGTAAAGCCGACCTCCAGGACTCCAAAAGCGTAGGGAGTATAACAGGAGGGGCAGAAATAGAGACCAATGATAGGAAAGGTTAGGCCTGTTTTCCAATATTTATTAAATATCCAATGTGGTTTTTTTTTGTTTTTTTTGTTTTTTTTTTTTTTTTTGCCTAAAAAAAAGTTATTTCTCTCCGGAGCTTGGCTTTAAATAATAATAATAAAAATAAATAAATAAAGAACATATTTAATATAATGTTATGAAAGCAGATGAATTAGGCCTATATACAGTATATTATAGTTATAGGCCTATAATGTTATTTTATTTATATTGGATACCGTACTGATCCATATATAATAAATATATAAATTTTATATAGGCCTAATCGAATAATGATAATTATACAAAGGTTGGATCATTCAAGCAATTAATTATATTATTTATATATAAGCTACCAATTATAATTATATAATTTATTTATGCCCAATTAAAAGATAAAATACGAAACAGAAAAAAAAATAGATTCCATTTTCAAATACTTTTTAAGATTCCATGGGTACAATCACCGCGGATTGATATTTTACTTTTTTTGCGTCATAAAAATGTAACCAAAACAAACAATAAAAAGAAAACGCAATCAAAGAACCATTTCCGCCCTCTGCCTTTGTTTCTGATAGGCCCCAAGCCGGGTTAAAATACACCAGTAAGCCTAGCCGAGCGCTCTTAGCCAACCACACTCCAATCGATATGCCAACATTGTTTGTACAGCGTGACGTCACCAGCGCTTTAACACTTGAACATGTGAAATGATCGCTGTTAAAAACTCTAAACCATCAAAACAGAATTTCGCATAAAATATCGAACTTTTAATGTCTATGTTGTCCACGACATTGGACTATAATAGCAACACTGGCTAGATGAAATACCCATATATGATATGAGGCCTAAAAATTGCAAATGACCGACAATTAATTGTCATCAAATAGTTAATTTGAATGTTAAACTGGTTTTGTTCAAATGTCACGATAAACAAAAGGCTACCTCAAATGTGTACTGCATTGTCTCAATCTTACTAGTGACTCGAAATAAAAATCAAACTAGATATATTTAAAAAATCATGGCGAATTACATTGGTATTAGTAAACACCAAGTCGGAGATGAACGTACAATCCCATGTTCATCATTTAGGTGAGAGTGGTTAGCGAAGATATTTGCAAATCAAGTCTGTTATTTACCGAGTCCAATAATTTCCGTGTCATGTTGCGAGCGATCGTATTATCTTTTCTATTGTAAATGATTTTCCTGTCTCAAACCGACGACATTAAATTCGTAAAAACATACAACTATCCGTAATATTTTAGCAGCAAACCTATGAAAATCCCAAGATAAGACATTATCTGAGCTTTTATAGCTAGGCTGAGGCAAATCCATAGTACATCGACCGAGTTATGGCAGGATGAATTGGGGTAAATTTTGACTACTGTTCTTTTGCGCTGCATGTTAACTCGCCGCGGTCTCGTATTCATGCATAAATTGACTCCTAATTTATCCTTCTACCTATTTATACGAAACAAGTAGGGCAAACAAAAATGGTGGCTGTTTCTCGTCATTTCGTCTCTCGCTTTTCGTAAAGATTTTTTACAGAAGATCACTCGGTTTTACTACTTAAACTAGTGTATAAGGTAGGTGATTCCCCCAAGTGTGTTTTGGTTGTAAAAACACCGGCGTACATAACGTCTTGGTAGAAATCTAGCGATTTCTTAGCGTTCTTTCTTTTGACCTCCAAACGTGTCGTGGTGTTTGAAATCTCATTCCTTTATTGAAAAAACAACAAGCGGAGTCCATTATTGAACTAGCGTTCTTCTGTAATCTATTTCTATGTAACTAAATCATAAATTTGGAAGCGTTTTTAACCGGCTTGTCGTTTGTTTTGGGTTCCAAGTAGCCGGTACAGTATAGGCTAAGGTTTGTGCATCATCATTACCTATATTTCAGTGGATTTGATGAACTTGTCATTGTTGTATTTTAATTTATCAATTATACTTTGTGTAGGAACAAGAGATTCATAGTCATTACATACAGACAGGCCACCTAGGCCTTGATATATGTATCTGCCATAAAAGCTAGGCCTGGCAACACCATCTTTTGGTGGTGTTTTCTCTAATGAGAGGTGAATGTTCTTTTTAATGTTTCTAATGTATATTTACTAGTAGTTGGTCCATACAATCTGAATTTTCTAGGCCTGACTAAATAATTTCTGCTTGCACATTAAAATAAAGCATGAAACTCTAGAAATGCCCAAATCAAATGTAGAATCATCGTGGGAACAATTTGAAATCATAATCATCATCAAAAGAAATGAGCAAATCATATTTGGCCTATCATGCTGTCTCCTTTGTTGTTTGGATGTAGCAATTTGAGACTTCTGATGATATTGGAATCTCTAGTTCTAAAATTGTTGATAGCCTGTTATATTTTGATGTTTGTGGGATACAGTAATTCACAATAATTAATTACCAACTAGGCCTATATTAAATTATAAAACAAATACTTTTATTTTACTGTCAAGCTATGTCAAATTTTGATAGTGTCTCTGAAATGACTAACCTATGCTTAAATTAAAAGTCATTTCTGCAAAGTTTGAAGTTTTTGATTTGCATTTCAAATGAAATTTAATTCAATTTTGAAAAACTTGTAATAATTGATGTAATTAATGTAAACTAAAAAAAAAACGAATATTTAAAATATTTTATTGCAAGTTAATAATATACATTAAGGTCTACTCATTGGCATATGTAGTACCGTGGTAAGATAGGTTACTCGCTTCCATACCTACAGTATATGTAACTGTACTACTACTAGTACAAAACTATTCTGCAAGCCGATTGGCTAGAAAGTTTCTTGAAAGTCCTTCCCACATACAAATACAAAATACGAATACAAATAAGCTTGTATTGTCCAATAAGGAAAAACGTCTTGCTGACAGAGCTCATGTTAAATATATAAACAATATAGTCCTAAACAATAAAAATATTAAAATACAATTAAAACAGTTACTATCCAGAGGCTGCCAGTATACTATCTTGATTACTTCTTTTCCAGATTTTTATTAAAAATGTAACAGGAGTTATGCACAAACGACCTTCTTGTGCGTACATGATTTTTTGTTCGTACATTAGGTTTCATTAAATTTAACATGACCGTTCCCTATAAGTTTTGCTCACGGGTTCCCATTCTGTCGAACAGTTAAATCAAAATTGGTAGGCCTACTTATTCCCCAAATTTGAATGTAATTAAAGCTATAAATTAGAAGATTGGAAATTTGGCTCAAGTTAATTTAGCTGTATTGGATTTTTAAGATAATACAGTTTTAAAGTTGGAAGAACAGAAATTATCTATAAATATAGCATTTGAAAGTTGTGGGAATTAATTCCCCAGGGAAAGTGAAGTCACAGGTAGACAAGTGATGTTCATATTCCTACTATGAAAAAATTACTATCAAATAAGAACATTTTATATAATAATTCTTTATAATAGATTTTCTAAATCAGCTGTCAAAGATAGAAATCCCAAAGAATATAGTCAAATTTAATACAACTCTAATACAGTGAGTAAAACTAAAGAACCATTGAGTATAGTGCATAGCTTTGGGCTAGCATAAATGAAGGGTAGCCTCAGAGTACATTACATTTTAATGTCTTTCAATTTGAATGTGGTTCATGCTACATTAATAACATATTAATACAAGACTAATGTTGGCAGATATTGTATTTATTTAGGTTTCATTGAATTTATCAGGTTAATTAAAAACACTATCTCCATAGTGTAGGAGTTTGATCTGAATGATATTTCTGGAGGTAATGATACCTGGAAAAACCTGGAAATATCAACGAATAATTAGTTGTCATTCCCAGCAGAATTTTGTACAGTGTTGCGAGGTTAAATTGTACCCAAATGCTCAAAGTAGAATAATTTACTGATGGGTTAAATTTTACTGATAATTATAATAAACCAGGCCCACAAGGTTCATGAGAAGTTGAGATGGGCGGGGATGGGGAGGTTACGTATAGGCCAATTTAACTCAGAAGTGTTTCTTTATCAACAAAATTTTGATAATATACTGCTATAGTAGTAGTAAGTCTGGTAAAAAAGATGTGTATAAGAGACAGCATATTTTCGTTTATATGCCCCCAAAACCCAGCAAAAAAAAAAAAAATTTAAACATCACAGAATGTTCTATATCACATTCTAATTGGAGAGAGACAAATGAAAAATACTTTAAATGTCCAAATATGTGCCACAGGGCTTATAAAACTTGGAGGCTTTAGTGCATGGATTATTTAAGAGAGACACTTACATTATTTGCAGCATACTATGTATTGCACTTAATTCTACCTAATGTTGTCATTATTAATTTTTTAATAGTGTCCCAATGATACGAAACATGAAGACAAGCTTTGAATATGCGCTGCGGAGCTTATAACATTTTTGGAGGCTTCAGTACGGCGCTTATTCGAGAGTGGCGCTTACAAAAAAAAATTCTGTACTGGCGTGGCATTTTACATTCCCGTTCCCATGTATCTCATGTATCCCATAGTTCAGTAGGTTTATCATAGGTCCTACAGCATCATAAATAAACATTTATAAAGAAATGCTTGTGTCTTCATTGTGTTATACTGTATTCATTTTAACACTGTACATACCTTGTACTTAAACCTTGTTTCTCAAAGTGTTTCATTACACGCAGGGCAATACAGTAATATACTCTCTATTAAGCGCCTTAGTACTTTATTTGAGAGCGGCGCTTAGTGAAAAAAAATCAGGTTTGGTGCGGTGCTTATTCGAGAGTGGCGCTTATTCGAGCATTTGCAGTATTCATAAATGAAGTCATCTTTCTGATAGACAATATACCTTTTCATTTTGATTTGCTATTTTAGTTGCTAATTAATTTGCACTACCGTTTGCATCAAAATAATTAAGTAAATAAGATGGGTTAAAGTTACTGATTAAAGATGAAAAAAAAAATATTGGATTTTGAAAAGCAGTTAAAAAAATTATTATTTTCACATATGATACATTACATGAAGATGAGTTATATTTAGAAAAGAGGATGGAATTGTGCATGATTACAAATGTCTAGTGTAAACTTAAATTAGAAAAGCAATGGAAGCAAATTGATGCGAGCGATTCAATTCGTTGTGCCTGGGGGTTGCTAAATGTCATTAACCTTTGCTGCGCTATTCGTAGGGCAAATAGATTTCTATAACATACTCAAGAATTCATGTTTATGGATAATTGGTTTATGGAATCTAATTGCAGAACATATTCAAAGGTTTCTACTAATAATAGGAAATTAGTGCTAGGGGGCAGGTGTAGGAGATACACTTAAATGTTATCACTGATCCGTTTTTGACATTACACGTGTTTTAATGTTTTCTTGACGCTGTTTTTTACTTTTTTTTTACATTAATTTATTATTTCCCCCTTGAATTATTAGATGATGTCTTCTTTGTAGAACACCATATAAATGATTTAATAATAATAATAATAATAATAATAATAACAACAATAATAAATTGTATAGGCTGTTGCCCACTTGAATTATTAGATAGAAATAAATGATTTCCACTAATAGAATTAATATTTTTATCATGAATTATTGCTGCGAAGCAGCCAATTCATATTCTTGACAGCAATTTGACCTCTGAAAGGTAATTGTTTGTCAAAAAAACAGGCGCCTAAGACGACTGAAAAGCGGAATTTCCTTCTTTCGTTCTGCCGGGTAAAATCAATTACTTTAGGCGACGTTTGTAGACTAACCTACTCGTACCAACGTCCGCATGTCGCGCTAGCCAGGCCTAGACTAGCTAGGATGGTAGGCCTAGCCTTGAAGG